ATGAACTCATCTAGTGAGAATTATTCTTTCTTGTATTTTCTTGATTGCTGTTATATTCTTTTTTTGTATGTAGGATTCCTTTAAGTATCTTCTGCAGTGCTGGTTTAATGGTCATTATTTCCTTTAGTTTTTGTTTGTCATGGAAGGTTTTTATTTCTCCTTCAGTTATAAAAGATATCTTATTTCTCTTCCAATTAGGAAAGTTTATCATTGCTAGATACTGTAATATAGGCTGGCAGTTACTTTCTTTCAGGACTTAAAATACATCATACCGTGTCCTCCTTGAAAAGTATGGAGTGCTTCATGAATTTATGTGTCATCCTTGTACAGTGGTCATGCTAATCTTTACTGCATCATTCCAAGTTTAGCATATGTGCTGGCAAATGAACACTTCATTGATATTTATGAATGAGTTTGTGTATAATTTTCTTTGTGAGATGTTTGTATTGTGCAATCTGTGATGCTTGCTTTAAACTTTTCTGAGCATTTGCCCCCCTTATGTCATTTGATCCTATAAAACACATAATTTTACATTCAACAAATAATCATCATTGCTAACATTTAACTAGCACTTTCCATAGTGCTGTTTAAAATAGCTTGAACCATAAGAACTCTGTGAGAAAATGTGCTATGATTTTTCCCATTTTTCAGTGAGGAAACTGAAGTGTGTAGAATTGTTTTGCCTTGAGTTAGTAATAGCTGGTAAATATGACAAATCACAGGGTCTGTGCTTATAGGTCTAGAAATTTAGTTTCACACAAAATCAAGTCATTAAAATGATGCCAGGGTAAAATTATTTTGTACTTTTTTAGGCCCTTTACATGTTTTTTTGTGGGATCATGGTGGCTTATTTCATGTTTATTATGTGGACATTTGCATGGCAGATAAAACTTTGCATTGTAGAAATAAGCATCACTGTAAAAACATTCTGAAGCAGTCCACCTAGAAATGCAGATCTTGGCAGATCCAAAATGTGAGAGTTGGAATTCATCAAACAGAGCAATTATGGGAAGACTATTTGCATTACTAAAAATCCAATTTTCTATAAACAATTTCAGTATTAGATTTCTTTAAACAATAAGCTTTCCTATCCTCTACCATAGGACATATTAAATACTAACCAAATTAAATTTAACTAGTCTTAAATGTTGTACGGGATTAGCTATTAGGAGTGAAAACTTAAAGTAACTGTTTCTACACGAATTTTCTTAAATTGACATTTTTACTTTTGAAAATTGACATTTTTACCTTTCTGTAAGAGGTAATCAGTTTTGACAGAATTTCTGGCAAGACTATATTATATATATTTCCAGGCTTCTACAAATCCACAAGCAATTTCACAGTGCAGAACAGAAATAGAATTTTTAAAATTGTTTTCTCTTTCTACACTTATGCTCCCAATGGAGCACAAAGACTGTTGAAATACCACATAAGTTGGAAGTATTTAATGAGCAGTAAGAGACAACCCAGGTCCCAATATCTGTTCCAGTTGGTGATGGGCTATAATAGCCTATTGTGTTATGCAAAGTGACCATGAGAACAAAAATTATTTAAAAATTGCTCAATTAAGCATATGTTTTGGATCATGACACCATTGTTGGCTTCTGTGTTTATTGCTTTTCTAGTCTTTTTTTTAATCTTTTTTTTTAACAGTGAGGTATAATGAATTAGGGAAGGAAGCAAAAGTTTAGCTCTAAGACACTCCATGATAGTGAGAATAATTTAGAAAAGCTAGAGATTTGCCTTTGTTTGCTAGAAGTGAATTCTTGAGGTTACTAAAAGGGTGTTTTGAAGAATATATTAAGAAGTAGATCATATATGCATGTGAATTTCTTTCTTACTAGAATCATAGAAATGCTGTACAAAACTAACTCCCACTTTTTTTCACTTTTGATGCATGCAATATTGTCCTTTTTTAACTTATGAATGAGGAAAAACTGAAAAGGAATTCTGAATTGCCCTCTTTCCCTTTCCTTCCATGTTGCTATTTTCAGTGGAGGTAGGTGGAAGTAGTAACAGGACTGAGAATGTATACAATGGGGTTCCTATGTGTTTCTTCAAGTACCATTGCTTTCTTTCTGTATTTGAAACAAGCTCTGGCTCCTGTGGGAAGTATGGCCTGTTGGAGCTCTCAATGAACCATTCCATACTGTTTGTTTTACCAAGTGGAGATCTGACATGCTTGCCCCTTTCCACTTGAGTCTTACTAAACTCCTGCACCTTGTGGGTCCTTGTGAATGCTATGATAATGAAGCTCCTGGAATTTTATATGCAAATTGGGAAGTAACAATCCATAGACAATATATTGTTCCTGTCTCTTTTGCTCTATTGCCCATCAGACTTACATGCTCTATTGCCCATCAGACTTACTTTTTAAAACACAAGTTCAAAGATAAAAGTATCAAGAATTTCAAGGTGGTTATGGTAGGGTATTAAGCTACGCATGGGGCCCTTGTGAGCATATATGTTGCATGCTTGTGAAGCTGCCCCTGCATCACTGAGCTCAGTATTACAAATTGGGGTAATACAACTTGGCAAGTAGGATTCTCATAAGGAGTAATTAAGTTCCAAACGTAAAGTTCTTAACATAGAATTCTGCATGTGAAAAGCATGAGTACATTTTAGTTTCTTAATACCTGTGTTGCTCTATATCCCTAATAAAATAAGACAGTGAATATTGTATCCCTACTAGGGACCTTGTTTATTTGATTTAGGTTCAGTGTTATTTACATGAGTCCCAGTGAGCAAGAATAGCATGAAACAGAACAGCATGATTCCTCTCTTATCTGTGTGGTGGTTGTGACTCAAGTAAACAATCCACAAGCAAAGCTTGAAAGTGTATTCTAGAAGATGCCTGAGTTACTTTGTGCAATAATAAAAAGTTAGAGAAAAAGTTATTGTGCTGGTTATAGCAAATGGTACTGTGTGGAAGTGTCCAGAAAGAGACAAAGGCATGTCACTAAAAGCAGTTGAGATGCCAGGTTGTCTCAATCTGCAAATGAAGTCAGTTCTGTAAAGCCTTAGGCTAGAAGGACTTTGTTCCACACTGATAGAAGGAAATATCTAAGTCCACGATGAAAACAAAACCAACATACAAATGAAGTCTGTCTGAGAAGTAGGGGGGAACTATGGTTGACTGTAGCATTCAAATAAAATTTGGTGAAAATGAATTTCAGGGTCCTGAAGCAATATCACAGATGGTACTTACCCAGTTAATACAATAGAGCTGCTGATAGAATGGTATTTTGTATACCCTAGATATATTTGGTTTATTTATTTATATGCTTAACCATTCTAAAATGAATGATGTATCAATTTAAAGAAGAAATTATCAGATAAATTATTAGTCACTTATTGAATAGGCACATACTAATTAGCTTCAATATAATTTTATTCAAATTTAAATATTTTTAAAGATTCTCTATTAAGTTATATGTCATTCTTTATCAAGGGCAAACACAAGAAGGGGATTGGACTTTCATCACATGATGAAGCAAGAGCACAAAAGGGAGGTGTGAGGATAGGCAAGAAACCCCCAAAAAACAAGATAGCATTTGATGTCCTCAATGCATAAACTTTAAAGCGACAGAGGCCAATAGGAGAAGGGAACCAGGAACTAGAGAAAAGATTAGTTCAAGAAGAATTAATTTAGAATGCAACACATATGCACAGGAAAGCAATGCAAGTAAACTCCTTGTATAGCTATCCTTATCTCAACTAGCAAAAACCCTTGGTCCTTCCTATTATTGCTATACTCTCTCTTCAACAAAATTAGAGATAAGGGAAAAATAGTTTCTGCCTGGTAGCGAGGGGTGGGGGAAAAAGGGAGGGGGTGGAGGGGAAGGGAGGAGAAATGACCCAAACATTGTATGCACGTATGAATAGAAGAAATTAAAAAAAAGTTATATGTCATTGATACATTTTAAAAATGTTATTACCATATAGTAATTGTACAAAGGGATTTCATTGTGATATTGTCACTTGTGCATTTATTGCTCTTTGATCAAATTTATGCCCTCTATTACTTTCTTATCCCCCTTATCCCATCCCCCACTTATTTTATAGTTTTAGTGGGCTTCATTATTCTACTTTCATACACACATATAATGTACTTTGATCATGCTCACCACTACCCCCATCACCTTCTCCTTTTCCTCTTCTCTCTCTCGGTGGTTCTGCCCCCCACAGTCCCCTTTTTAAATTCATGTCATATTATTATTTTTAGGTCTATATTCCACATATGAAAGAAAATATGTGACATTTATCTTTCTGAGCTTGACTTATTTTCTCAACATGATGATCTCTAGTTCCATCCATTTTCCTTCAAACAACATATTTCTATTCTTCTTCATGGCTACATAGTACTCAATTGTATAGATATACCACATTTTCTTTATCTACTCATTGGTTTTTAGGCACCTATGTTGATTCCACAGATCCACTATTTTAAGTTAAAATTATATCAACCTATAAATTATGACTGCTTAAAAATGGTCATGAAAAACAGCTAAACATGAAAACAGTCTGAAAAGATACACAGAGTAAAAACTAAGTGGGGCTTTATAAATGTTCCCATGAAAGTGAGTGATTTTGGACCTTATACTAGGTGATTCACCTGGCTTGTCCGAGTATGCCTCTCCTTTTCTGATTTTGGAATATCAGGCTAACAAAATTGATATGATCTGATTTAAAAAAACAACAACTCCTTACAGAGAAAAATATAGATGAAAATGTGGCATAGAATCAATATAGTAATTGGTTTTGTTTTTTTTTAAAGACTTCTTCCTCATGCCTGCCTTGAAAATCTGGATTTAATTTTCATTAAAAAACTTAATGGACTTCTCAGGAAGTATGAACTTTTTCCAGTTTCTGGGTCCTCTCCTTCACTGCCCCTTGGTTCTGGAGAAGAGTAACTAATGCCCGGGAATGCTGAGTCAGGACCTGGGTGTGCTGCCTCCTTAAAGGATTTTACTGATTGATAATGTTGTTATTGTTTCCAGATGCAGAGCCGAAATATCTGATAGTTGTGCGACCTGCTCCCCCTCCAAGCCAAAAGAAGTCATGCTCAGGTATAGTCACTTTCATTGATTTTCTTTTTAGTGACTTTAAACTGTGACTTTTCATGTTTTGCTATCTACAGAGACCATAGGTTCTATACTATGCACAGGTCTTGGAGATGTCTTAGGAATGTATAGAGTAGATGGACATAAGCTCTCAGTCTATAGTTTCTCCTGCTGGAGAAGCTGTGTAGTCTGGTAGTAGAGACTGCTTGGGGTCTTATGCTTACACCACCACTTGCAAACAGCGGGCTTCAGACAAATTATTGAACCTCTATACACCTTGGCTCTGCTGTATAATAGGGTTGTTGGGCGGATTAAGTGAGTAATGACAGCTCCTCCTGGCCGCTGGTCAGTGCTCATTGGGGTACTTTTTGTTAGCCTGTTTCTATTTGCTACACATGCCCTCTTGTCTGTTATTGTGCCTTTCAGATTTTAAGGGCAAAGTTTTAGGTCTAGTCTTTGCTCAAGGAGACTGTTTACATTGCAGAAGAATAACTCATTCATACATGTACTACGGATCGAAACTTAGGTTTCATTTACTCCTATTTCTCACTTTTAAACCTCTTCTCTCTGGTTAAACACAGAGGAAAGACTCCTTTCATTAAACAGAAATAGCAGCAACATCCATGTTCCAAAGAGTAGGAAGATTGGAAATAGGAACATAGATAAAGATATAAATAAATATGTAGAAACTTTCTACATGATTAAAGGAAGCCTACAATGTCTAATTTAACTACACTGACTTTGCATCAAATAAGCAGAGTATTGAATATTCACAGAAGCTGTGATATGACTTTCTTATCTGATGTAATACCTTTCTATCTCTGTAAATAGAGTTGAGCACAAAGTTTTGCTTTTTCTTTTTCTAGTGTAAATTGTTCTCCAAATAATTATTTCCTAATCATATTCATCTTTTATGGAACCAACACAGAAAATGATTTTCTTGTTTGTTTGCCCTATTTTTCTACAGGGATACAATGGGAGGAAAAGCACTTGGCTCTTCAGTTATACTGAACAAAGGGGCCATTGGCAGTTGTTTTCATTATCCTAGATATGTCAGGCCAAGGCTTGTAGCCAGAGATCAGTTGCCCCAATCCCCTATACTCCTTTTCCTTGACTTCTACTTCTTTAAGAGCACATTTAAATGATTAAGCATTTTGAAAAACACAAAATCCTTTTCCTGGCTCTTACATTATCTCAAAGCTAAAGGGAAAGTTCAATTACTTCTTACAATTTGCTAATAAGAGTTGTCCTGGCTGCATGCTACACACTTTAAAATAATTGTACTCCAATATTTTAAAACTAGCATTTCAAAATATTGAAAATAAAGTCAAGAAAGAAGAATATGGTGCCTTATAATCTGGTTTTGTATGAATATTCAATGAACTGTTTCTTGATAAAATCTGATCATAATATAAATAAATAAAAATATATAAGGAAAGTCAAGACAGTGATTACAGCTTAGTGATCCTTTATAACTTCATTTCATGTTGAGGCTTCCATGACGCTGGTCTTGGAGATTATTTTTCACTTCATATGACTAGCTCAGGAAATTGTTTCATTTTGTTCAGGATATGACACCCACCTTTCCTTTCAGGCAAAAGTATAATTTTTGTTTTTGTAATCTGCCTTTGAAAGTGATGTGATGATTAATGGATTAGTTTCTGTTCACTAAATGTTTGCATTTGCCACATCAACTCTAATTTCATAATCATCTTCCTATTAAGATCTAAAACTTAGTGAGGTAAATGTTTGGTCATATAAGATTGAGGTTCCCTTGGAGAAAGAAAACTGTATCTTTTCTTTCTAAGTAGCATTAACTTTATACATTGTGAGCTGAGCCAGTTATGTAGTAAAAAGAAAACTAGAAAATGATTGAAGAGTCCTAAATCTGCTTTTGACCTTGATTTCTGTGAGACTTTGGACACCCTTGATATTACTCTTGTCCTTATTTTTCATCTATAAAATAATATTATTACATTATATTAGCGAAAATCAACATAGAGTTGGAAAAGGGAATATCATAATCTCCTCAGTACTTTTTCAATCTGTATTTGCCCACTATACTTAATCAAGATTCTTATCAAATGTGGACCATTTGAATCATCACCTGAGGAAGCATGACTATGGGTGTATCTAAACATATATTTACATATATATATACACACATGTATGTGCATACATAAATCTAGTGGAGATTTCATTTGATTCATGTTTCAAATCATGGACAATAATTAATGTTTGTGGACTATATAAAAAGGAATTTGATGTTTTCATACTTTTTATAAACTTGCAGAGTCATCTGTATGCATTTTACTCAAAACATGAAAATATGCTAGATGTTTCTGGCATTAACCTGCATGCTGCCTCCATAGGTAAATCTCGTCCTCGCAAACCTCTCCAGCTGGTGGTTGGCACTCTGACACCAAGCTCAGTCTTCTTGTCCTGGGGTTTCCTCATCAATCCACATCACGACTGGACTTTGCCAAGCCACTGTCCCAATGACAGGTAATTCATCACAACGGAAATTTTGTAAATTAGCACTTACTTTTAATAAGACTTGTTTGAGCTTTAGATGAATTTATAAATATTAGCACTATTAGCATTTACTCATCACCTGCTATCTGTAAGTTCTAGGCATGAGGGAAATAGAGACACATAAGTCAGGGGCCCTAGCCTTGAGAGAGGTATGACCTACCTGAGTAGAAAACACATAGATATATGTACCACCCTCCCCTTGATGAGAAAATACAAGAGGGGAGGAGAAAATAGCAAATGGACAGTGTCATTATACGTGTAGTGAAGCCCAGAGGAGGGGGCTGAAGGCAGTTTGGAACATTCCTTGGAAAAGGACCCATCTTTGATCCGACAAAGTGCCTATAGCAGCAGTCCTAGAGTGGTCTCTCAGGCCACGTGGCTCCCCATTGCCATCACTTGGGAGCTTGTCACAAATGCAGAGCTTGGGTTCCTTTCAGAATCAGAAGCTCCAAGGCCAGGGCTTAGCCATGTGTTTCAACAAACCTTCCAGATGACTGATAGCCACTAACATTTGAGAGTCACTGGCTTAGAAAACTAGACAGAGACAAACGTGGGAGATGGAGAGGAAAAACAGATGTGGAGATGAAGCTACCATCTTGTTTGGCAGAACAAATGAGAAAAAAGCAAGTATATTTTAAAATTACTTCTGCTTGCTCATCCATACACCTAACGTGAATTTCTCTGTGTGCTAGTCACTATGCAAAACACTGAACCATGATTCTAAGTAACTTATAAAATGGTATCTGGTTATCATAAATATTTACTGCATTTGTTTCAAAATTCAGAAATTTATAACTGGGCAAGCATTCAAAAACTTCAAACTTCAACCCAGACATTTTATTTTTAAAGGTTCTTTTTTGTCTTAAATATACTCAAAGTAATTTTTAAATTTGAGAAATTTCTCATTTCCCCTTTTTAATAAAAATTTTGAGGTATAATTTAAACAGTAAAATTCACAGACCTTTAGTGGTAAGTTTGAGTTATGATAAATGTATAAAATAATATTATATTTTATGACATCAAGAAGTAGAACACTTTTATCACCCCAAATGTATCTTTCCCCAAGAATTAGCCACTGATTTGATTTCTATCACTATAGATTAATTTTGCCTACTCTAGAATTCCATGTAACTAATTCATCCATATAGTATGAATTATTTTTTGTTTTCAGCTTTATTCATGGCATTGTAGGTATCAATAATTTGTTCCTTTTTAATTCCTGAGTAGTATTCCATTATGTCAATATTCTAGAGTTTGTTTATCCATTCCCTCTGGTAGATACCTGGATTATGTTGGTTTTTTATGAATATATATATTATAAACATTTTTGTATAAAACTTTTGTGGGTATATGTTTTAATTTCTCTTAAGTAAATAGTTACAATTGGAATAGCTGCATTACAGGGAAGATATTTATTTAACTATTTTTTGTCCAGCTTTTCCATCAGCATTTCCTCAAGCTATGTATGAGGGTTATGGTTGCTCCAGACCTCACCAGCATTTTGTGTTGCCAGCCATTTCTCATTGTAGCTATTCTAGTATAGTAGTATCTAGTGAGCATTTCCCTTGCATTAAGAATATTGAACACTTTTTATGCACTCTTTGGCTATTTTTTGTAGTATTTTATTTATTTTTTATCTAAATTGAACTAACAAGAAAGGCCTTTAAAATGTTTATAAGTTCTAAAAAATACCTTTCATAATGACTTTAATTGATACTTCTAGACTAAAGAAATGAAAATTTCCTTCACATATCCATAGCTATCAAGGAAAAAGGCATGTACTTCTAAAACCCATATTTTTGCAAAATAATTTCGAGATGTTTCAAAGAATCTGAAATATTCCTTACTTCTCTCACCACTAAGCCCATTACTTATTTTACTTGGAAAGCAGACTCTTGAAAGTACATGTTTTTTTGTCATGATTCCACCTTCTAGTGGTTTAGTCCAGGATGTCAGTGCTGAGAAAATGAAAATTCATGGGTTGCTTTTTTTTCCTCTTTTCACTTTTTAAAAATTCTCTTATAAAAAAGGAAAGAAGAAAAAGAGGGATGAAGAGAGAAAGGGAGAGAGGAAGGAAGGAAATCTGGTAATCTTACAGCAAAATGAAACCAGATTTCAATGTTTACTCAACTTGCTCGATATATCTGAGACAATTTGTTTGCCAGTAAGCTGGCAAACTTACACATTATTTGGATATAATTGTCTCCATTCCCCTCAAGCCTGTCCTTTAATTCCACCTGGTCCTACTGACCTTCCCCTGAAAGAATTGATCTGATGATGGTTCTGATCATCAGACATTACCAGAGTTTGGCAGCACAAGGAGATAGTGAACATAGGTAAGTGAGGACAAATGACTAAAGGAGCTGGGATTTTTATAACACTGGCATTGAACCCCAAGACCCACCCTACTCAGACCACACACACATCTCATGCTCTCTCTGTGTACATACACCCAGGCCTTGCCCTTCTCATCAAATAAATTGAGTCATGCATATCAAATCACAATATCCAAAATTGATAATTCCACTTTGAGTAAAGTTTTTGAAAGATTTAGAAAAAGTATATCAAGATACTGGTACACTTTCAAGCCTGAGTGAGTGAGAGAACCAAGATATTCTTAACAGAAAAAAGACAGGACTTAAAGGGAAGAATTCAACAACTTCCACTAAAAAGGACCATTGGAGTACTTGTGGTTCCCATCCCCCATACTTTTTTTCTCACAAGTTAGCACAGCTAACAAAGAGCTGACATTTAAAGTCCATGTCATGTTTGAGAAAAATTAGTAGTCCTTATTTAAAAGTGCTGAAAATACTACACACATTATAAACACCCAAATTAAGCACCAGAACTGTAAATAAGTGTAATTAGAAGATTTAGAGAAATCTACCCTCATGTGTTCATGCAGAGTTCTTTTCCTTTTAGAATTTAGAACAATTCAGTAGTTTACAATAAGCAATAATAGTTAACAGAGGTGATTACTTCTTGAAAATTGGAAGATTAATACAGTTGAAGTTGTTCTTCAAGAATACCTTCTTATGAAATCTTTAGAATCTGAATATCTTCTTACAAAATCTTTGGAAACACAATGCCCTTGACTTGTCACAGAAACACTAACTGGTGCCATTTTAAGCCACTAAATTCAAATATGTGGAACACTTTGTGAAGTCTTATTTACAAAATTCATTTCACATTGGTTTATAGAAGTCTCCTTTATTGTATACAAATAATATATTGGAAAACTTATTAATGCTTTGATTTTTGGACTTTCTTTATCAAAACTCTTAAGTATTCAGTTTTCAGTTACAAAAACCTGGTTTTTTTTTAAGCTTGGAAACATTAATAGGATGTCACTGTAGCTTTGTGGCACTTTTCTATTCCTACTTACAGGGTCCATATGGGTCTCCCATGGTGTTAAATCCTTGTTTGCATTCACATTGTAGAGGAGACTTCTTAATTTATAGTTTTTGTCCATAATAGGCTTTGAATGGAAGAATGCACACTTTTGTCTGCAATATACCTAAAGTCAAAAAAAAAGTTTCCAAATTGACCCAGATGAGGATTAAACTGTTTTTAACTAAAACTTATTTCAACATTAATAGCTTATTTTTTCCTTTCCATATTTCAAATTTATTAAACCTTTCAAGATTGGTTTAATTTATACTCCTTTGCCAGCTTATTAAATTTTTATAATTTGTTTAGAAATCATTTTCACATTTTTCTAACACTTTCATGTTGTGTTTATTTACTCTTAACACAGAAAGAAGACTCTTATTTTTGGCCAGTTCAGAGCACATGTTTGGCTTTTATTTTTTCCCCCAAGTTTTTATTAAGCAGGTATTTTCACTGTGAATTCTCATTTGATTGAGCCCAATACTTTCTTTCCTATTTGTCTTGCAGTACAAATTTTAAGCTCTGTGAGGGCAGGAACCTTGTATATCTTTCCCACCCTTTAACTCCAGCCCCCAAGCCACCATCTCGCATATAATAGGGCCTTAGTAAACACATGCTGAATGGATACACAGAGGAATGTCAACATTTCACTCTTATGTGTCACCATTACCTCAAAGTCAACCTGACAAAACTGAACCCATACTTTTTCTCTCAAAATTATACCTCACTTGTCTTCCCCCCTCCCCCAGAAGTACCATGATTCTTTCATTTGCCTTAATTAAAAATTTTATTTGCTTTTTCCATTTCATCTTTATAGTTTATGGAGGCCCCAAGTCATGTTGATTTTACTTTGGAGAAGTCCCCATATCTGTGTCATTATCTACTACTTCACCATTTCCCCAAAATGGTTCTTACCTTCTCTCTAGAATTGTTAGCCAACCCCTCATTCATGAATTCTTTCTTCTTGCCCCTCTAACCATTCCTTCTCTTCTTTGCTTACTTCTTTTCTTCTCTTCTAAATATGGAATAATATTCCATCCTTGTTTTTGGATCTAGATATCTTCCTTTCTGATGCCTTGTCATCTTTATGTAGGTCAAAGTTTTTCCAATTTTGGTGAGTGTGGACTTCTGTTAAAATGGAAATTCCGATGCAGTAGACCTAAGGAAGAGTCTGAGATCTGAGATTCTGTATTTCTAAGAAGCTCCCAGGAATTGCTCTCATTGCTATTCTACAGAGAATGGAGGGTGGGTGTGAGGAGGGTTGAAAGGATATAAATGACTTCCAAGGCTAAAACACTGACCTGGACCCATTTTCAAAGCTCTACAGTTTCAGTAGGATTTCAGTTATTCATGGAATATTTTCATTAGAATGACTAAGGAAGACTGACCAGCACCTCAAACTTGGAACAAATTAATATTTTTAACACTTTTTGTCATCACTTTATTCTCACACTGAAAACTCAGTTTTGAATTTTATTTTCCCTTTTCTTGGTACTCATATCCCATAAGGATCCCATCTCACCAATTCTTTCATTGGAATATGACTTTGATCTGTTTTCTCTTTTTCATCTTGTTTTTTC